AGCTCTATATCTATACTAAATATTTTGAATATATAGATACAAAATTGTCCTTCATTTGTATCCCTTTTTTGTTTAGTTTTGTCAGAGATGGGTATTCTATTGTCATTTAAATATTATAGGAGCGTAAATTCAGCAAAATATTCCAATATAGTCTAGTAGTCCATAATAGTAGTGGGTTATCTGCAGGACTGGCAATGTCAGAAGTTGTTGACTTGAGCATTTCACAGCTCAGCATATTAATATGTCTTTTCTTTTTAAAAATTTTAATTATTTATGTGTGTGTGTGTGTGTGTGTGTGTGTGGCCAGCTCATTCCACCAGGGGGCTGGGCTGGCATGCATATGGTGCTGGGGGATTGAACCGTGGTCCCTATGCTTTGCTAAGCTTGTTCTAAGAAGGTGCCTTAGACCACTAAGCCATCTCACCATCCCTGTCTTTACTTTTTATACCTCATTTTTATATAGTTCTGCTGGATGGTTAAGATTAAGATAAAGGAAGACCTATTTTATAAGAAATGTAACTTTTGTATCTGACAAGGTCCGTCAAATCCCCTCAGTATTTACACTGAAATCCTGTACAGCAGTTTGTAGATCCTTTGTCAGTGTCAGCCATGTGGATGACTCATGGCCATTGCTTGGCCAATGTGCTCTCTGTGAAATCCTGAGAGAATGTTTTCTCTCCATGTGACTCTCCTTAGGCACACTCTACATCATCAATCATTTTCCTCTGTGGCCCCATAATTTCCTTGATTGGAAAATTTGGGACACAACTGAATGACACGTACTTTGATTTTCCATTTCCTCACTTCACAGTCTTCACTGACCTAGTCTTTGTTCCACATCCACATCCAGCCTTCCCATGCCAGTAGCATGACTATGGACTTATTACTTCACCTGGCATTCACTTATTTTCTTCATTTAAAAAAGGGCGTATACTATGAGTGGAGTAACTGAAGATATTCAGTAAAATATCTTCCTATTGATATGTTCAGAGAGTAACAATAACAAGGCACTCTTAATGTCCTGGTGTAGAAAATGACATCCAGAGGATGCTGTGGTGAAATGTCATCACCCCATCCTGGCATCCACCATCCCAGCTCCATGTCCAGGCCCCATTTCCTCCCCTGAAGTAGACTGAGGTGAGCGCTCCTCTTGTTGGTCTCTCAGTCTCTCCTGGGACAGGGCTGGCACATCCAAGTCATCTGCAGCACCTCCTGGTGCCTCCTCCTGTACTCTGAGACTCATCAGCTAAGGATGTGGCCTCCCTTACTAGAAATGAGACAAGGGAGGCCTGGAGGGTGGATCCCTCCTTACCAGGTGCAGGACAGCCATGGTGCCAAGCAAACCAAGATCCCAAATCCCATTGTGGCCTTGAATTCTTTAGTATGGAAATACAAGCTTCAAGCAGCTCTGGCGGCGGGAGGAATGGCAGCGGTAGAGCTGAGTATCTCCGCGAGGCTCCCTTGCGCCTCGACCCGCAGCCTCCGCACGCGCCCCGCGCCCAGCCAAGATGCCCAAGAGGAAGGTCAGCTTGGCCGAAGGGGCAGCGAAGGAGGAGACCAAGAGGAGATCGGCGAGATTGTCGATCTAAACCTATTCCAGCTAAAGTGGAAACGAAGCCAAAAAAGGCAGCCGGAAAGGATAAATCTTCGGACAATAAAGTGCAAGCAAAAGGGAAAAGGGGAGCCAAGGGAAAACAGGCTGAAGTGGCTAATCAAGAAACCAAGGACGATTTACCTGCGGAAAATGGAGAAACTAAAAATGAGGAGAGTGCAGCTTCTGATGAAGCAGAAGAGAAAGAAGCCAAGTCTGATTAATCACACACCATGTCTTATCAGTGCTGCTTGTCTCCCTTCTTGTACAATCCAGAGGAATATTTTTATCAAGTATTTTGTAAATGCAAGTTTTTTAGTAGCTCTAGAAACATTTTTAAAAAGGAGGGAATCCCACCTCATCGCATTTTTTAAGTGTAAATGA